ATCATCCTGCCTATTAAACTTTGCCTATATCACACTGCTACAACTTATGAGATAGGCTGAGTTCAGAATAGTACAAGGTCTGACAATTAAATTCAAGAACTCATCCTAGAAAAAGTGCTATATATCTCGCTGCTGAATATCACTATGGTCACCTTCGAAGTACTCCCCTTGGGAAGCTATGAACCAATGCCAGCACCTAGTCCACCCTTCAAAGCAATTTTGGAACTCTTTTTCTGGAATGGCCATCAGAGCTGTTGTTGTATTATACTTGATGTCATGAATGCCATCCAAATGTCTTCCTTTCAATATTGCCTTTATCTTCGGGTAAGTAAAGAAGTCATTGGGGGCCAGATCAGGTGAATAGGGAGGGTATCCCAGTACAGTTATTTGTTTACTGACTAAAAACTCCCTCACAGTGTCATGCGAGCTGGCATTGTCATGATGCAAGAGCCATGAATTGTTGGCAAAAAGTTCAGGTCGTCTAACTTTTTCACGCAGCCTTTTCAGCACTTCCAGATAGTAAACTTGGTTAACTGTTTGTCCAGTTGGTACACATTCATAATGAATAATCCCTCTGATATAAAAAAAAAGTTTAGCAATATCATTGCAACATGTTCGCGAACTTAATTGTCGGACATCTTACAGTGAAAATTTTAATTAAGTTGGAAGAGTTGCATCCTGGTTTGGCAGGTGGAGTCTTTAAAATGATCTTTGATTATTGAAGGTGTTAGCATTTGGTGAATATTAAGGCGCTTATAGTGTATGATTTTAAAATAATGTATTTTGTAAATGTATGTTGTATATTGGTTTCATCATTAGCACAAGGTTATGAATTGAATGATTTAAGGACTTTGGAGCTTGATTTGCCTCATTACTAATATTAATTGATACTTAAAAGTACTAAGTTTAGCTATCCATTTGTTTGTATACCATATCTTTTGCTTGTTTTTTATTGTTTGATTAACATTTCATTAGCATTATATGTCTTCGATTCTGTATTATTACTCCTACTGGATATAATGCTATTAGGGTATGGGGAAGCCTAATAAAAGTATTTTAAGGAAAAACTGCTGATGGAGTCCTGTATAATGGGATTCAAATGTTGTTAACTGCTCCAGTATTTTATCTATTTTCAGAAGTAAATATTGGCCATCACACTTAATATATTTTTGCAAGTGCATTTAAAGTGAATTATTGCTATATCAGTTATGTAAGAATTTACAGAATACTGAGTTATTTTAAAAAAAACACACACAAAACTGTGGACTTACTACATAATTTTTACCCCCACAGGACTTTGATTCTTGGTTTGACACTAAAAATTGTCTTGGTGATCAAAAACTTGTGGAAAGACTTCACGCAGTAAGTAATAGCAGATAAGAAAATTTAGTAGTTAAATATGTATAACCAAGTCAAGAAACAAACTGCCATAGAATCTGTTTGAACTCTTGGCTCATTCTCACTGCTTCTCCCTCTGTCTTTTTGACAGCCTCTTTGGGAAACAAACTGCGCTATATTCTCAGCCTCTCTGTGGAATAGCTTTTTGGCTTTGACTTTCCCCCCATGGGTAATGTGGTCCTCTCCAGTAGAGGCTATTCACTCTCCCACTGCCCACACATCCTCAAGTTTGCATCAGTATTCTCCTAGTTTCCCAATGCCATTCTAAGCCACTGCTTCTCCACTGTCATGTACAGAACTCTTCCTTTGAGACTCAAGTTAACTTGCAGGTCCACCCATTTTCTTGTCTGTCATCTACTTATCATAAGGTGACTCCTTCACGTTCATTGAACACCAATTTTCCATTCTTTGATAACAGCTTCTCATATCCTTCTGTTTCACTCATGTTACTTCTTTTGTAGTTACTCTGTTACCTTACAGAGACTGCCAATCCCCAGACCCCTGCTTTTTCTCCCCATGCATCAGCCTATTTCTGTTGTTACTTTTTTCTGTACCCAGCAATGAGCCCATTTTCTATTACTCGAACCACTTTTTGGCCAATCCTCCCAAACTTCCTTGCTCTCTTGACCTGCCATTTCTGCCCCGAAAGCCCTACACAGGAATAATGTAACTGTCTCTGTCCTCTGGGTTTGGATTCCATTTCTACCACTTGCTAGCAGAGTGACCTGCTCTGTACTGGGGCTGGTCAGCATTGATAAAGATTATATGGCTGTACAGGTTGGAACCACTATGATTTCATGTTCCCTAACATAAGCTGGCATTTGATGGTGCTACTGTCCCTTTGATGTGGCCTTCTACAGCATTCTTTCCCATTTTTAAAAAAATATTTTTATTGGGGAATTGGGGGGATGGGAACAGTGCTGGGAAATTGGGGGAAGGGGAAGAGACAAGTTGCTGTCGTTTTGTTCTTCAGTCTAGTTGTGGAGGACGTTGCTTCACTGGCCCAAGTAGGTACCATCATTGCGCTCTTCCC